TACCGCGAACAGATTGTTATTACGCACTCCTTTTCTTGTTGTATGTTATTTTATTTTCCGTTTTTTTTGGAACCGAGACACGATTGTCAGTGTCTTTGGCTTGTAGGTCACGAACTTCCACGCCACTTTTTTGGCCCTCAATCCTCGACAGGCCAGCCAACAGGACACGTGGGTTTCGCTTACGGCTCACCCGAGCAGTGGTCTTGCAGTGTGGGCCCAATTATAATGACAAAGTTGTTGGTGTTTTATTTATTTATTTATTATTATTTTTTAAAAACAGCTGGTCTTATTCAAGCAAATGACAATCCCAAACATCCCCATTTAGATCAAGTGACACCTGTCCTAGCACTTTCACACGCGTCCTTGTATGTACGGCCCTAAATTGTCCCTACCAGGTATCTTCTGGGCGATGGATTTTGACATTTTTTACCGTTTGCGCCCCGAACGAGTGTGTTAGGGTTCTTACTAACTATAAAAACAAATGTAAATATTAGTTTTTCATGCTAGGTTTTAGTTACACATTTCATAAATTAAAGAAGTATTTAAAAAATTTTAAAATTATATTAACAGTTGAAAATTTTAAAATGAATTATTTAAAGTTAATGTAACACTTATAATAATATAAGTAATTAATTAACTAATAACTTATTAATCTAACTAAAATAAATTTACAATGATTTGTTTCGATCCAATGATATTGGACTCTGAATTAGAGTTGTTTACCTCTTGTAGGTGATATGTTCGAGTCCTACAAAATTCATTTTCTTCCTCCCCTATATATATATGTAAATAATACCAAAATTGTTAAAAAAAAAATAAAATGAATTTGATTTCTTTAAAATAAGATTTTAAATTAAATTATTTTAAATAAAAAAAACATTGAGAGAATTTCTCTTTTTTTTAATGAAATTTAATACAACTTAATTTTAAATTAATCAAATCTAATGTGATTTTTAAATATTTAGAGACTAATAAAAAAATAAGTAAACTTAAATTTGGAAAAATCAAAAGATTAGAAGAAGTACTATTAGAGTATGATTATAATTAGAGTTGAGCAAACAATCGGTTAAGTAAATAGATAGTTGAAAATTATTAAAAAAATTAACTAAATGGTTAAATATAAATAGTTATTGATTTTTTCTTTTCAATTTTGGTTAAATAGTTAAAAAAATTAGTTTGTTAATAATTAGAAAGTTGAAAATTCAGAACTACATATATAATTAAAAAAAATAAAATTTTATATTAATAAATAAATAACAGTTATTTAAATATTATAAATAAATAAAACAACAATCTTATTGAATTTTATTTTTAAGTTTTTTCTTATAAATTTTATTATAATTTAATATTAAAATTTAAAATATATTTAAAAGTAAAAAAAATAAAACTCAAAATTTATATTTCACTCTCATTTATTTATCTTTTTTTAAATATTTTATTGCTTAAAATGTTTAAATTTTAATTAAATATATTAATTATTAAACTTAAAATAGGCATTAATTATAATTGATAGCCAAAAGATTAAAACCAATTGCTTTGGTAATTGAACTAAAAAATCCATAAAAAATTCATTTTGGTTTTGGTTACTAAAAATTAAAAAAAAAAAAAGTTGAAAATATGATTTGGTTAAACCAAAATCAAACCATGTCTAAGCTTAATTATTATACTCTATTATTTAATTAAAATTATATAATTTTTTAACTTTAAATTTTAAGAATAATAATAATTAATATTTATTATTTCAAATTAAATTTATTTTTAAACATTATAATTAATTATTTTAAAACATTACTGTAAATTAGTAAAATATTAAATAAAATTTAAGTGATAAAAAAAAAAAAAAAAAAAGGCTGGTGCTATAACCACGCTCGTACTGTTGCTTCTCAAATTATTACCGGAGGAAACAGAAGAAAGCTGAATTTGACTACACAGACTTGTAGTGACATGACAGAGTCGAAATGACGTTGCCACGTGTAGTGTAATAAACACATGCAGCAAGCATCCGGCAAAAATCTTATCCCACCAATCGGAGTCAGCAAACTGTCCACGACAGCAATAGCTCCTATTTCTTTTGCCCCAAAGGTCATGGCATCACTGGCTGCCAAATGTCCCTCGAGTGGGTCCCACAATCATCACACAGTAAATCTTCACCGTCGGATCGAGGTTTTCTTTGAGATTGGCACCTCATATTTTTCCGGAAAATGGAAAACCGGTGTGGGAGAGACAGGTGTCCCCCCATGTTTGTTTTGCTTTCAAACTTCAATTAAAACTCTTTTATGACAAACAGAACCCTTCAACTTTATCTTGGTCCATGTGTTCACAACGTAGCCGTCCACGTGGTGCTCCTGGAGGTGGTTTGATTTAAATTTGTGTGATTTGTTGGTGATCAACGGCGGCGGAGCATTATTGAAATGTGCAATAGAGAAACACGGTGTAATTTCCCCCCCGTGAATGGGAGGTGAATGCTACGTGTGAGAGGGTTGATGCATGATGAGGGGGTGCAGTGGATGTAATGATGAGGATAGAATATGGTTCCTAAGAATTTTAGAGAGACGTGGTGATCATTTATCTGATTTTGATTTATAGTCTAGAGAGAGAGAGGGGGAGGAACTGAGTTTCCGAGAGGGGGATCGATGAGGACGGTGGCGATGCAGGCCAACGACGGCGGAAACAACCCGGTTGAAGTTCTGGCGAACGGTGACTCTGAGAAGTCGTCCACGACGTCGAGATTTGCCTCTCTTCTGGTCTCCAAAGATCGTGATTATCTTCTCTCTGCGACCGGAACTCAGGTTTTTCCTTTTTTCTCTCTTCTCTCGGAGGAATATATCTAGCATCTTCTGGATAATAGGTAGTGGTACTAGTATCTACTTTGGTCTAATTTTCTAGTTTTTTAAGCATTTTTTCTTTATTTTCATCAGTTCATAGAAAAAAGATGCATCGCTTTTCTACCTTAGTAAGAACTCGATCATTATATATATATATTTTTTGTTACCTTTTCTCTTCCAGTTCCTCATGAGAAAAAGGTCTAGGTTTTGTGAATATTAATGATAAAATACTTCATGACTTTGGTATTCACATGTGTACTATCTTTCAGAGGAACTATATGAGCGCTCTTCTTTTTTTTATTTTTTTTAATAATGAACTTAGTTTGAATAATTAACTGAAGTGATTTGATTTACTTACATATAGCCAAAATTTAAATTGTAAATATAGTTGATAGGAGTATTAGTCTACAGCTGTTTAGAAAATTGGAATTATTGAGTAAATTTCATTGGGTGTTTTTCTCGCTATATAAAGATTATAAATTTATAATATTCAGTTGAGTTGAGTGCATGTGTCGGTCCGAAATGTGGACACCTGCTATTCTAGCTGTTTGGTTTCAATTGTGTATGTCTATGGTTTGTATTTAGGTCGGTGGGTCGACGAGCTTGATGAACATTATTCTCTTCCCATAAAATAATTGTAATCATATTTTTTAAAGAAAATTCTAAACCATAAATAAAAGGAAAAAGTACTAGTAATGTTGTTTTCTTGCTTTTGTTTTCTTTTTCTTCCTAAAATAGCAGTTTTTGAATTTTGAGTTAATAGTTTTTGGTTTCTTTTTTTTTTTTTTCATAAATTATATAATAAAATATAATTTTTTTCATCTCTTAACTAACTTTACTTACAAAGTATGTAATTTGAATCTAAAATTTTTTATATTTAGAGGAAAATTATCATTGGCCTTGGCCGTTGACAATTAGTTTATGGGTTCTAAACTAAGGATCAATGTAGTTTACCGCATTTAGGAACCCTAATGTTACTAACTTTTTTCACTAACTCTTTAGACTAATTCGAGGTGTATAAATTAGTTTGTGTTCACTAGTTTAATGTTAATTACATGACTCTTGTAAATGTTAGTTGTCTATGGATATTTTCACAAAATTATTGCTGGTCTTTACCCCTTGCATGTATAAAGAGACATTAAGGTGTAAAATAATAATAAACCAACAGATGGGACAATTCATGTGTATAATTCACATTGGTTATAGTGGTGTATCCAAGATAAAATGCAGGCTGTTAGGCTTTATCGTAACTTTTACGATATCAAGTCACTGTCAAATTTTCCTTTTTCTTTATATGGGAAAAGGGCTTGATTATGGGGAAAGCAAAAGAAAGCTGAATCAAGTTTAGGAATTGTTAATCCTGTCGTGTTACCGCTAATTTCATCCTGTCCGAAGAAAATTGGTGGTAGATAAAACATTCCTTTGGGTTGGGTGTTGCTGTCCGTACCTGTTTTGTTATTGTGAGGAAATAGTTGCAAGGGAATTTCGGGTATGATATGAGGTTGGATTTGTTTTGTTCCCCCGGCCCCCAAAAAGAAGATGCTTGGTTGTCACGAGATTCACATGCCAGATATGCTTGTCCTAATCAGCACACGTGGGTTGTCAGTCGCCAATGCTTTGCTGTAGACAACTAAGCAACTGAGGAGACGTGGCAACAATGTCCACCACTTTTTTTTTTTAGATACGGTCAATATCACTTAAAAGTTATTTAATTTTATTTATTTAGTTTAATTAATTTTTTATTTATTTACAATTTTTTTAAAATAATTCATTATGATATTTGAAAATATCAATTTAATAGTCAAATTAAATAAAATTGAGTTTACTTGATAATTAGATGATCATAAACACCCCTATATTTTTATGATCATGGTAGATATAAAACTTTAGTCTTACAACAATGATATTGTTAGCCAAAAAAAAGGGTCCATTTCTATATCAGTACATTCTAGCTGGTGGAACATCCTTTTCAAATTCAGGCATCTTTTGAGCTAGTGGATTCTTACTCATCCTATTTGGTTTCGTACATATTCTCATTTATTCTGTTTAGGATCTAACATTATTTTGATTGGCAAATTCAGATAATTGTATACATTGGCCACTTCCAAATCCTGTCATATTGAGGTCATTGTTTCAATGATCTATGTACATTTTTTATGCCAATGAGATACTGGTTCAGTGATTAAAGATCATGATGAGACCTGTGAATTGATCAAAATTTCATGTCTAGACAGTTGAGTTATTATATATAAACAAGGGAGAAATCGACTAAAGGTAATTAATTGACCCCCTCTTGGTTTCTTTGTTACAGGTGAAAGTATCTAGCCTAGAAGAAAAGGTTTTAGGCCTTTATTTCTCTGCCAATTGGTACTCTCCATGTAGAACTTTCACTCAGGTTTTAGTAGGGGTTTATGAGCAGCTGAAAAGCAACAGTTCTGGATTTGAGATTGTTTTTGTGTCATCGGATGAAGATTTGAATGCCTTCAATAATTACCGTGAGTCCATGCCATGGCTGTCAGTTCCTTTTTCTGATTTGGAGACAAAGAAGGCCTTGAACCAAAGATTTGAGGTCGAAGGCATTCCTTGCCTGGTTATATTGCAACCTGGGGATAATAAAGATGAAGAACCTGCATTGTGTGATGGTGTGGAACTCATTTACCGGTATGGTGTGGAAGCCTTTCCTTTTACAAAAGAGAAGTTGGAGGAATTGCAGAGGGAGGAGATGTTGAAGCATGAGAACCAGACCTTAACCAATTTACTCACAATTCATGATAGAGAGTATCTTTTGGGTCATCCTACAACTAATAAGGTCAGTGCCTATCTCCTCCTTACCAGAGAGTAATATATTTTTTTGCAACGAGCAGCTACCATTTCTTTTTTCATTTTTCCTTTTAATCAATTACAAACACAAACTAGGAATAGAGAAATTCGAACTAGAGATTTCTCGAGACCTTAGTTGAGTATTTTATGACTAGACTTATGCCTCACTAGCAGAGTGGCTACAAAAGCACAAAATGATCTCAAATCAAATTTCTACTTTTATTGGAAGAAAATACAATTTATAACATGGGACTGGTGAAAAAGTGTGGCACCAATATCAACTGCTATAAGTTTAACAGATTATTGATTTCAGGTATGCTAACCGACTATAGCTTCGAATGTTGATCATGTTGTCCCAATACCCATAATTGGGCAGGTATCCATCTAACGTCACCATATCTGCCTTGAAGTTCATTACAACAGTATAATCTGAGGCAAACTTAGATTTATACTAAACATCGGAGAGCTACCGAGCCCTTATCTTCCAAGGTTGAGAGGCTAAGTTTTCTCCTTAAACACTAGAGTGTCATTGTAATATATTTAATTTTGCAGGTTCCTGTTGATCCCTTGGTTGGCAAAACTGTTGGACTGTACTTCTCGGGGCAATGGTGTCTTCCTGGCTTGGATTTCACCCCCAAGCTGATTTCAATCTACCACAAAATCAAGAATTTGCTGGAAGAAAAAGGAGGTGAGGATTTTGAAATAGTATTTGTCTCTAATGATCGCGACCAGGATTCATTCGAGTCCTACTTTGGTTCGATGCCATGGCTATCACTTCCTTTTGGGGACACTGCTATTAAAAGTCTATATAGGTACTTTGATGTGCAGTGGATTCCTTGTTTGATAATCATAGGGCCTAATGGTAGAACTGTTACTAAAAATGGGAGGAATCTTATTAATCTGCACAAGGAAAATGCATACCCTTTCACTGAGGCTAAGCTGCAGCTGCTAGAGAAAGAGATGGACGAGGCAGCAAAGAATTTACCAAGGTCGGAGTATCATGCGGGGCATAGGCATGAACTTACATTGGTGTCGGAAGGGACTGGGGGAGGGCCATTCATATGCTGTGACTGTGACGAGCAGGGTTCCGGTTGGGCTTACCAGTGTCTTGAATGTGGGTACGAGGTGCACCCCAAGTGCGTGAGAGCTGTGGGTCAGCGCGCTTCAGTTTAGAGCCTGACTCGATGCTATCTTGGATGTGTTGATTTTGCTGATGTTAAGCGTACGTGCCTGGGATTATTTTCAGAATGTGTTTGTTAATTTAACACGGGAATTTGGCCACCTTACCACTTTTAAATCAATTATCTGTGTCTTTAATTCGGGTTTTGATTCTGTGACATTACTGTAGTCGGGCCATGACATTGAAATCAGCTAAACAGAGCTTCTATGGATTAATGGGCAAAAACAAATGTGTGTTCTAATGTCCCTTTGTGAGATGGTGATGCTGCCATTCATCTTTTTCTTATTGCATGTCTTTCGTGAAAACTTGGTGAGTAAAGGATTCTGGAAGGTGGAAGGGGATGGAAATGGTCCCTGTCATCATCAGCTGAGATCACCTCTCAGCACGCTGTCGTTTGAACTCGTGTTCAGATAATAATGATCTGATTGTTTTGTATACTCTTTTTCCTTTTCCTATTTTTTAAATAAAATATAAAAAAATTTTATTTATTCAAAAAATTATGTTTACAATGAAGTAATAAGTTACTATAAAATACAAAAATTAAAAACTTACACAGTTAATGTTTAACAATTCTCTCAAGTTTTTATTGTTGTGGAGTGAAATTTACTTTTGAGGTATAGTGATTTAATTATTGATTTAATGTAAAATTTATGTGGTGAGTTATATTTAAGTCTTATCAATTTTTTTTATTTTATTTTTTATCTTTTAATTATAACAAATTATCTACGTTTAAAAAAAGAAAATATTCCTCAACAGCTAATGATGAAGAGAAAAAGTCAGGTCTAAACAATCTTAGAGTCTGGTCTCTCACACTAACTTTTATATCTCCACTCAGCCATCTCAAACTTAAAAAGTTACCGATGAATTTTTTTTTGTTTTCCTCTCTATCTAATCATGGGAAAGGATAGCACTTGGGCCGTGTGGCCCAATGGCTAGAGCCACTGAAAAGTGTATATCCCCTCCTTTAGGCGGGTTTCGAATCTGTCCTATGACAAAATTGTTCAAAAAAAAAAAAAAATCATGGGAAAGGATAGCATTCAAAGTCATTTTTATTAAAACTCACATGCAGTGATTTTTTTTCTCAACCTTATTCCCATCAATCTCAGTAATAGTTGCCAAATGATATTCCTGCTTTATTGTTGATATCCTACTAAATTTTACCGGTATAGCGACATTTGAAGATAGAGGAGGTACTCACTTGACACCCTCCTGCACAGGACACAGTTGTCACCTAAACTCGATGTCTATTTCTTCTGTCGAGCTTTTGTTGCTAAGTTCGTCCAAAATAGCTAACCCACTTATAAAACTAAAAATGAAATATATAAATAAATTTAGTGGATAAATTAATGAAAAGATTGAAAAAAAATATTTTTATAGACTAAACTCT